GGAAAGTATATTCTTCATTATCTTGACTTTAGATCGTTGCAGTCTAAAAACCACCATGATTTAGTACTGATATTTTAAAAATATGCTTTATAATACAACCCCTTTTTTAAAAAGAATTTTTGGCAAGATACTTGTATTTATGGCCAAAACAACAAAGCCTTTAATCTATTCTATGGACTGTCTGAAAGCTCAGTTTTCTTAAATCTGATAAAAAGCTCTTTTCATCTTGGATACATCCTCACTAGCTATTTAATGTGCTCCATTATATTTCTGAAACATATTTTTAGAATAGTGAATTTTGCAATTGTTTGTTAAAATGGGAAGCAGCATGAGAAAAAATTAACAGGATGAAAACCTATTTTAGTTATATTTACAGTACTGTATCATATTTTTCATGTTCATATGGAAGTCAATCACACTGTGTTCTGGGGTTGATACAGTGAGATTTATAGCCAGAAATTAGTCAAAAGACTTCACAAAAGGGATAGCTTTGAAAGAAGAGAGGACTGTCTTAGTCTTATGCTTTTTAAAAAAATAGACAACAGTCTTCTTTATTAATTCTTTGCATTGTGATAATGAAAATATAGATTCCGCATACAGCAAAAATTATATCATTTCACAGAATATGAATATATTTGATACTAGAATAAAGGCTTTTAAACGAATGCTGACAAAACATTTTGCACTACATTTCTTGCATGGTTAGTCTCTATTTTCATGCAGAGAACCTACTGATGGAATTCCAACTATCCAGTCTAGTCTACTAAATTAATAGTAGACCAATTACAATAGTCGAACTAAAGTAGATTAAAATTAAGTTTCCTATGAGACTGTCAGGCAGGCTAGCAAAGGTATTTCAGAAACAGAGAGAGAAACCATACTTGCTACAAAGACATATGTCTTGATAAATCAAAGTGGGGAATCCCCTGCCCACTCCCAAGAAAGGGATCTGGCTGATCTAAAACAATATTGCCCCAGTGTTTTTCATGTGAAATATGAGATCCAGTGTGACCAGAAGCTGATCTTTAGTGACCACTTATAAAAACCATTTCCACAAATTTCCAATTGTACAGTCCTAACCAGGAAAATCCAAATGTACCATCATTTTGTCTTCTTGCTTTCTTTGCTAATTTGTGTATTTGTTGATGCATCAATAAAATGCATATTCTAAATGGGAGTTGTTTTATAAGCTCAATAATAACGTCACTTGCCTTAAATTTTCCAATAGAATTATAATGGCAGCAATTACTTTTATCCAGGGTGACTGTTTTGAGCAATGTTATTGAACACAACTCCTCTATTTATAGAAAAACCCAGCCAAATAGAATCTAACCCCGTGCTGAATTCTAGCAATGGTAATCAAACCCATCTATGGACCTGTATAAAAAGATTCACAATAACTCATTTTTCTAATGATGCTGCTTTGTAATAGGAATTCATTGATCGGCTCACAACTATTCGGTCCAGCATTCTCCAATCCTCCTGAAGATAAGCAATCAATTTTCATCCCAAAGAAAAACTTACTTCAGTTCCAACAAAAAAGCTGGTATTTATATTTTCCAGCAGCTTAAGAGGTTTCATCATTGAGCTCTGAATCTCCGCATATGGAATTTTTTCTATGGGTGCCTCTTTGCTTTGCTTGTTTGGGAGAGATGTTTTGTCTACCAAAAATTTGGAATAAGATGACTGTGAGTAAAACTTACATAATGAATTATTTTTCTCATTCATCAAAGCAAGTTAGAGGACTGGGGGAAAGAGAGGTGTTTTTAAAATAGCATAGGTGAATGGGAAACTGATTAACTTTCTTATTCAACTACATAAATAGCTCTGCATAAACTGAGGGCTTACTAGCAGAATGTTTCCGGGAAGCTCATGGGTTCCTGGCCTGGCAGAGAACAAAAATGAAGAAACTTCACAATCTTCAGTTTAGAAGACTTATAAAATATTTTTGCATTATGTATTTGTTTATCAAATTTAGAGAGCTACCTATCTCTGAAGTGTGTGACTCTGGACTCGGGACGATTCTGAGTGTGGCACAATAATTAACCATTAGGTACAAAACTCTAGGAATATGGAAGGCAGGGCTTGATGTTGCAACGACACGACATGGAATCTTGGGGCTCCAGGATTGCTGCCGATATCTCTGTTCCTGGACGGTCCTTTTGGACCTAAACTGTTCTGAAGGAACAGTGATAGAGAAGAGCATGTCCTGCTGATCTC